ATACTTTAAATGCACTTAAAATATGTTCCACAACCCCTAGCAATTCTTGTTTCTTGTCTTGCCTTCTTCAAAGGGTAGATATCCCCCAACAACAGCCCCCTTAATCACTTGATAGTGAGATGGCAGCATATAAATGTAATAAATACGGACATCTGATCAAATCAATCAGCTGCTCAGTAGAAAAAGTAAGCAGAATTCCCTCAGCCCCAGAGACTGGATCTTTTTGCAGCTGAAGATTAGATGTACATAGACAGGCTCATCAAAGCCTTGTAGGTGGGTAAGACAGCCACTTTACAGAAGTAACACCTTTAGCTCTAAACGAGAGGCAATATAAAGTAGCAGCTGTTTAACTGGTTGGTTTAGGTACCTTTAGAGAAACATGAGTGAGAAATAAATAAATCATATCAGTAGACCATAAGAAATATGAAAGTAAAGACTTGTCAGTTGTGTTGGCATGATCATTTATGCATTAACTGCGTACTCAATTCATTCCATTTCCTAGGCCTGTACAACAGGCTGAACTACAAACCAACCCCTCTGGTTAGGCCAATGATATGCTAGCTAAAATGAGATTATCTGGTTTATCTGGTATCATGTGAACAAAGCTATTGAAATGAATTGCAAAGAACTAGGCAAAAATATAGTTCCTATTCATTTTAGTGGGCACATGCTGGAGACATTTCTGATACTTCATTAAAGGTAGTCCCCAGGTTAAGAATGCCTGACATGGACAACTACTTTTTACAAACAGGTTACCTATTACTAAAATGGCAATTAGCATTTTCCTTCTTCAAGCTGACAAACCGCTGAAGCTACACAATGTTTTCGGGGAACCTCTGAAGCTACAACTTTTTAATATACTCTTTTCAGCAGTTTTCAGCAGTTTAGGAAAATATTTGTGGCTTTGGTGATTAGTCAGCTCAAGAAAGGAGAATGTTATCCACTATTTCTAGTACTAGGCCGCCTAGTAAATGCAGGTTTCAACTTTCATACAAATTTGATTAAAGATAGACTCAGGTAGGTTCCAGTCAGCACTACTGCCAGTTTGCTCGTGAGCACGCTTTGAGCATGCATGTGCATGCACAGTTCAATCAAAATTCTTCTGCAGCTGTTCTGGGGCGTGGCAGGCCTGGGTCGCTGCTGGTTCCAGTGACCCAGGCTGCCATACTACTACCGGTTCAAATGAACCAATCCAAACCGGTAGGAACCCACCACTGATTCAGGTACAGAATGCATCCTTAATCCGGGGACTGCTATAATGAAGAGAATGCATTTTCTACTGCAGTTGCTAAAATGACTTGGGCTTCAAACCTATATGATAAAAATTGTATCCTTGAAGAAACACTCATATTTCTTGGTTTGCTTTTACTGTCATTTGGAAATCAAAAGACAGAAACATCCCAAAAGATGTAACAAAAGAGTTTGTGAAGCAAAAACACACTAACTTTGGTAGTTTGATATTTTTCTGTTCTATAAATTACCCTGGTGGTTTTTTTCTTCTACTCATTTTTATGACTATAAATGCTGATGCCAATTTACCTGCCCTAGATGTTAATATTTAAGGGGTTCAATATATGTTTGTTATTATTAATCCAGGTTCAATTTTATGCTGATTAGGATTGACCTAAGAGACAGGAGTGTACTGCTGAATTATTTTATTACCTTCTCATGTGTACCTAGGTGAATACTTGTTTTGTTGTAGACTCTGGTCTAACCAATCTGGTCTAGTACAGAGGCCACTAGGAATAAGGTTGATGCTAAATAGAGAGAACAATTCTGAATAAATTCAACTAATACATTCCCTCATATAATTCCATGTTTTTCTCAAGGTGAGTATACAGTGATAAGTCAGCTTCTTGGAGTTTAACTAGATTGCCATTTTTATTGTTGAACTTTGTAGCCAAGTGTCGATTAGCTCAAGAAACCTAGGATCTTGCAAAGATGGCTGAATATGGTTCCTATAGGACCATAGGGAACATCACACAGCAATACCAGGAAATATTTATCGCCTCTGCTTTAGGTTGTACACCAAATCACCCAGAGACTCTCTCCTCAAGGAGAAGTTAAAGTTTATAAGAAATACGAAAGTACTACACTTTAGGCATTCTTTCTCTTTCTCTCTTCTTGGAATTTGTTCATATGTGAGATGAACATCTTCCTGGAATGTGCTTCTTTGCTACCCTGCCTCATGTTCTTACTGATGGAATTTGGAACTGTTGGTCCCATGCTCTTTGGGGGATAAAAGGTTGATTTATTTTACACTTCAATCTAAATAACATCCCATTAAGTCAAAGTGATGGATGGGTGGGTGGGTGGGTGAGTGGATGGTTTGGGTGCGTGGGTGGATGGTTTGGGTGGGTGATGAAGAGGGGGAGAGAGATTATAGAAAGAATCAATTCTCTGTGACAGACAACCATTTTGGAGGAGCGTTCCTTGCTGCAGATTTTTGAAGATCACATGTCATGCAGATGGACTTAGGAAGTATAGAGAAAGGATTTGAATGCTGACCACTCTGAGTCTTGTAATTCCTGATGCTGTTGTCAGACTGGTTGTGCACTTACTTAACCTTCACCAAACAATGATTTCCCAAATCTATTGGACTACAAATTTCCATCACTCCAGTTCAGCAGGTCCCATGTACCAAAGGGACCTAGACAAGGATAGGATGACATCAAGTTGATTCTGGCGATTAGCAAGGGTTTGGACTGGGAATGGGGAGATCCAAAAGTCAAAAGAATAGCAGTTATAGTGATGCTGGGACAGCTTTGATAAACAAATATGTAGG